TTGTTTTAGTTCCTTCGATGGTCGCAGGTTCGATTCCTAATATGGTACACACATTTGTATCTATGAGTATGATTGTTAATTTATTTACTTTTTATTGCACTAGAGGTAAATTACAAAGAAGATAAATAGAAGTAATAAGGTCTTATCGCGTAAGAAATCTCTTTCAGACAACCTTTGGCTAGAGGAGAGAAAGTCATTACATTTTTTTAATCTACCGCTAGTATAAAAGAAAAGTACCCATAACACAAGCTTTGCTTAGCTTGGGACTAGATGGCGCTGTGTGAATTGTCCTGTGATTATTATTATTAATATATGTCAAGTAATCGGTTATTAAGAATGTGTTTTGGATACACATTATCTCGCTCAAGGATGTTGACTGATCACTTCCTCAGCGATTACTCCGAAACTGACACGTGGGAAGATGCAGGTTTAGTTTTTGTTACGTCCAATATAGTTAGTTTAAGAGCTTCTGGCTTAGTGGTTAACTACTTCGTCATAAATTTCAAAGGTCGTGAGTTAGAACCTGGACGACACAAAAAAATATTTTTATCGACAGCTTCTGTGTTCTAGCAGTTTAGCATACCGCCTTACATCCCATGGTCGCAGGTACAAATCCTCGCACGGTACAAATATTTGTATTCACGAGTATGATTGTTTGTATCGGTCTGGGTGATTTCTATTGTAAATAATGTGCGTATTTATAAAATCTAAGTTGATCTATCAGTTGTCTAGTACCCATAACACAAGCTCTGCTTAGCTTGGGACTAGATGGCGCTGTGTGAATTGTCCAGGGATACGAATAATTTTATCTCTGAAATGGCTGGACCTATTTTCACGGGACTTTTTTTTGGCAGCTAGCTGATGTAATAAGAAGTAACTTAAGCTACTTTTATTTTAGATAAAGTTAAAGTGGCAAATAAAGGTTGTCAATTTAGCTGTCTCGACGTTTCGTCAAAATACACACTCAAAACCATAGATTATATTACTAGAATAGAGCGTTCATTAATACAGATAATAAAGATTAATATTTACACAGAACCTGTAACGGAAATCAAGATAATCGACAACGATAACCGTATTTAAGTTTCCCACTGACTGCGGGGGTGGAAAAAAAACAGAATGTCTCAAGGAGCGATTTCTGTATCAATACTATTGAGTAAACATGTTACTGGCTGCTAAATTCCGTATCTCGAATCGTTTAGCGGGTACATGATACCGGCAACGAAAGTGGGATGGATTATTGAGAAAAAAAACAGGTCTGGACCTCCTCCTGTTTTGTGGGAACTGTTTGATGTATGTTTAGTTTTCTGGGTAAGTGGGTATTGAGGGAATATGTAAATATATGTAAGTATATGTGACTATATGTGTAGTATTTGTTGCGTGTTTATGTCGTTTTTTTTTTTATTTATTTATTTAGTTGTTAAGTGTATATTTTGTTGTGAGTGTTTATATCGTTTCTTATATGTATATATTTATTTGTTTTGTTGTTAAAATCGTGTTCGAATTCGATTTTCGATTAAAATCTTGATTTTTTTATATTTCAGACAGTTGTACATACATGGATGGCAACAATACTTACAGTATTTTTTATAATAAAAAATACCTACTTAATCATTACATAGTATAAAACAAAGTCTCTGTCGCTGTCTGTCCCTATGTATGCTTAAATCTTTAAAACTACGCATTGGATTTTGAAGCGGTTTTTTTAATAGATACAGTGATTCAATAGGAAGGTTTATATGTATAATACACGTACACCCGTGCGAAGCCGGGGCGAGTAGCTAGTGTTATATATATGGATGTAAATGGAGTTGTTAACTTAAAGATCTGAAGGGCGGAGCGCACACTTGCGACCACAAACGGGTCACGTCTCAATTCCACTCAAACGCACATAAAATAATGACTGAACATGTCAGGAAGTGGCGTTTAAACAACAGTGTGAGTAATTAAAGTTTTTCTGGAAGACAAGCTGTGAAAACATGTTCAAAGGACGAGCGGGCGGGCGTTGCTTCGTGGAGACAATAGAGCAAGTAACCATCGTTATATCATTACGTGCCACTAGTTTGTTGTTTACAGAATGTTAAAGATATCGTGGGGGGATGAAAACATGTTCTCCAAAGAGGACAGAAGTACTGAAGACGTAGAAACACCATCAAACGCCGTAAACTGCTGTACATGCTGTGTGCTGGGTCACATAATGCGGAATGAAAAATACAGTCTTCTGCAATTAATAATACAAGGAAAAATCCAGGGCTGCCGAAGACCAGGCAGGACGCCGTACTTCCTGGTTAAAAAACCTCAGGCAGTGGTTTGGGTTGAGCACCAGGTCCCTGTTCAGGACCGCCGCGGACAAAGTAAAGATCGCCATAATGATCGCCAACCTCCGATAGGAGATGGCACCTAAAGAAGAAGTTTGTTGCTGTGACTTTGTACCTGATCGAGACAAATTTATTTATATAATTGTTTAATTAATTAGTTAGATTTGTTGGAGACAGTCGCCATGGCCGAAATGCGGTCGGGATCACATCATTGCAAACAACCCAATAAACTTGATGGTCTATGGTTACTATAGTCTATATACACTTTGAAGGCCTCGATGATTTAGCGGGTTAGCACACAGCCTAGTCGATGGTCGTGAGTTCGATTTCTCGTACGGTACAAACGTTTGTATTCATGAATATTATTGTTTGTATTTGGCTTAGTGTTTTATATGTATGTATTAAAAATAATGTATTTATATCAGTTGTTTAGTACCCATAACACAAGTACGCTTACGTTGGGACTAGATGGCGCTGAATTGTCCAATTATCACTTTTAATTTCATTTAAATCCATTCAGCCGTTCAGCCGAGAAATGGTAATAAAGAGACAAAAATACTTTTACATTTATAATATTAGTACAGATTATAACAAAGAAGAAAATAATTAAGGAAGTCATAGTTTCCTCTAGTGGAAGGTAAGGCCAAGGAAATGTAGATAATTGTTTAAAGCTAGTGAGTGCCTCGTGTTATCAGTCAAAGGTATGGTCGGCAAACAGCCGGAGTACACAGTGAGTCTAGATTACAGTGTACAATCAGGTGCGTTTTATTATTTTTGCTGCACTACCATTTGATTACATTTAACACAACGATATTTGTCCAGCACTATTGTTGTTTTACAACGGAGTTAGATGTTATTTTAATTTCTTTAATATATATTTATTTATCCTACGCATTTAGTATGTATGTGTCATTTATTAATACACGATTTATATACTAATTACTATGATTATTATAACTGACCAGTGAAACTTCGTCTGAATCACACTTACTTGACATTTATCATTATATTTCGCCAAATTTACATAATATCTTCTAAAATTATAGTGTCATTCAGATGTATAAGCTATATTACAGTAAAGTTTCATCAAAATCCGTTCAGTAGTTTTTCCGTGAAAGAGTAATAAACATCCATCCATCGATATTTACAAACTTCCGCGTTTATAATATTGGTAATGTTTTCTGTCTTCATATGGCATTATATTTTTGATTTACCTACGTTTGATGAAATAAACTTTTCATTGATAGAACATACTCATATACTATCAAGTGATTAGACTTTCAAGATATACCCAGTGTGTTTTATTATTTTTGATGCACTATCATTTGATTAGCACACTTTACACAACGATCTTTGTCCAGCACTATTGTTGTTTTATGACGCACCTACTCAAACCAACTAGTTAGAAGTTGTAATTTGAAATTTAATTCTTAAATAAATACTGATTTAACCGACTCGTTTAACGTGTATGTTACTTACATACACAAGTATTTGATGAAAAGAAATTTTATTGCGGTATAGTAAGAAATAATTTTCAGTTTAATGTGCTACAATATCTTTGATTTGCGTTTAATTCTACTTTTTATTTATGGATATAGCCAATCTGTTATGTTTTATTATTTTTGTTGTTTCATTAACACATTTTATACAACGATACTTGTCCAGCACTATTGTTGTTTCGTTGTTGTTGTAATTTCAAATTTAATTCTTTAACCTTTGAAAAATCATACATTCTTTGCAGTGTACCATATTGTAACATATGACTAAACCTTTTTAACTTTAACAGTTTATCAGTCGGTTTGTCCTGTAAACATTTTTTTTTAATAAAATCAACTCTGTCACTAATAACGATGCTTCGACGTGGATCCAGTATAAACGAAGCAAGCGCATGCGTTATTAAACTTGATAGCTTATCATCAGTTCGTTCACCTCGTTTGTTTGAGAGAGATTAAGTGTTTGTGATGTTGAAACGTTAAACCTTGAATGTGGCCGGGGTGACGGCGACTGTATGTTGAAATTTACACAGCCTGCGTTTCCTTGTGCATTTTATAACGATACTAGTATCATTGTGATCGTTAATTCTGATGCAATAAGGCATATCTACTTAAAAACAACAACGATTAAGTCGTTAAATAAGGTACTTAAAACTAATAAGTAAAAAAACGAATAATTTATTTGAAAACAAGCTGTGGCACGTGGCTTCGTCTAAGTGGAATGTGATTAAATTTCAAGTATAAAAATATAGTCTAAGTTACTCTTATATAGATGTATAGATGTGAAAGTCCCTTCAAAATCGCCAAGATCAAACAGACAGATAACTTTTTATGGTAGTACCGTATATACATTGATTTGCATGTAGTTAAAAGTTATTTGTATATATGTCGCCACTTGTTTCTGTGTATGTATAAGTTTAGTTTTTACAATAAACCGATAGTTTATTTTAGTTAGTCTAACAGTAGTAGTAGTTAGTCTATCTATTGTCTAGTAATATAGATATTGATTTGATTTGATTTGATTTAATAGTACAAGGTTTAATAATAGTCTGCCTAGTCTAGGAGATAACTGTGTCAATTATACTAGATTATTCATTATTTATGATAAACATTTGTGACGGACATCTAATTGATTTTCAACCTTAAGCATATAAATTAGGGTTGAATTTTGCGTAACTCTGGTACTCACCTGATTTCCCTCTTAATGTCATCGTAGTCCCTCTGGTTGTCCAGCCTCGCCTCCAACCTGGCTATGTGCTGCTTCTTCTCGTCCAGCCGCTCTTCAAGCCGCTGCAGTTTCTGTGCGTGAGCTTCTTTCAGCGCTGCAATGGACGCCTGCAACCTTCTCACTTCCTCCACCAGTTGAGCAATCTGAAAGCAATTAAGAATCATTAATATAGGCTTCACAATTTTTAAAACTGGCAATGATAACATGTGCCGCAATATGGCAATCCCCAAATTGTTAGAAATAAACTCATTTCTAACAATGTAGGTACATGGCAGGTTGATCATCAAGCGGTTCCCCCTGGAAACTGAAACAATTTGCCACAATGGGCTAGCTGACCTGACCTTCATGGTCATCTTATCATCTTCCACTAGTGTCCCGCCAGCGTAAACCGTTAGCACAGGCGGGTACACCATTCCATTATCACCCATAAAAACCCCTCAGAATTGTGAAAACATTATTGTAATTGTAACCCATTTCGGTTTTGCACGCGTGGTATTATTGTTGGGATATCTATTTTTTTATATAATTTACAGTCCCTAGTTCCTATAGGTCAATTTATTTTTAATATTGGTTGTATATTTTTTTCTTCATTCGGTGAAATTCGAAAAAAAGTTTTATAATACCTATCAAGTATTTCTCTTGTAAAATGACAGTGTAGTAACATATCATATGTCACATTATCTTTGATAGAAACTGTTGAATTAGTCATAAATATTTTACGTACGTAAATGACTAAAAATATACTAAGATATATATAAATACAAATATATATAAATGTTTTTAAATTTGATATGGAGAAAGTTATTTTCAAATATTCATAAATATATATGTTCCAAAGATTATTCTTTATAATAATAATAATATAATATAAAAAAAACATTCTCAAATATATATATATATATATATATGAATGTAGGTTACTTAGCTCTGAATGAAGAATAGGTGAAAATTTCTGAAAAATGTATTACTCTATACAAAAGCCTTTAAAATAAATTATTTAAAGTCGCAAATCTAATTTAGTTGAATGTAACAACGTTATACTGGTCACATTAAAATTAACTTTGTCTACGAATCAACTGTAATCCATTAAAGTTATTGTTAATTACTTAATTAGTCGATCGTCATGGTTATTTTTACAGAATAATGGAAATACCAAAATAACAATCGTTAAGTTACGACCTCAATTTAAACTTAACACCAATCTTCACTAATATTTAATTGCGAAAATGTGTCTGTCTGTTTATTTGTTATATTTTACACGATATTTGACCTGAAGATGTCATCAGGCTGAACGAAAACAGAGACAAAACCTGTTATCTCCAAAAAAGAATCTGTATTAATTTCATTTAATAGTAGACATAGACACCTCTATAAGTAAACAATGTTTACAAACTGTATTTATAGTAGAGTTTCTTGCCAGTTCTTCTCAATTACATCTCTATACTGAACTGGACTGGAGGAAGTAATAGCAATACAAAAAACGTTCATAAGCGACTAAAATGAATAAATATTTTTTGAATCAATGTATTTCTATACGTAATTAAACAACTATCAACATTCTGTGCTCCTTAATATAAACTATAACTATGCGAAATTTCATACAACGCCGTCCGCATTATTTCCGTAAAAAGTGGTACAAAGTTTTTGCTTGACATATTAATATATAGATTTCCCGATGACACACAAACAATTACAACGTTTTCCGTACAACGATCGTACCCATAAAATCCATATCAACAATGTGGAATTAGCGACCTTGTCGCTTTGTAATAAGAGCCATTAATTGATATAATGGAGGCTGCTAACGTGTTATTTGTCGACCTTCGGCGTATATCAATTGTTGCAGCTGAGGTGGAGGCGCTCAGCCGTGAAGATACGTATCGTTCAAGATAGATGCGGCGGAAATCACGCGCTCCCATCATGCTTCCTATAGCTAAACGTCTAGGGGATGCCGTAATTAAGTTCTCCCATCATGTATCTACTGCTAAAGATCTTGGGGATGCTGAAATCACGCGCTCCCATCATGCTTCCTATAGCTAAACGTCTAGGGGATGCCGTAATTAAGCTCTCCCATCATGTATCTACTGCTAAAGATCTTGGGGATGCTGAAATCACGCGCTCCCATCATGTTTCCTATAGCTAAACGTCTAGGGGATGCCGTAATTAAGTTCTCCCATCATGTATCTACTGCTAAAGATCTAGGGGATGCTGAAATCACGCGCTCCCATCATGCTTCCTATAGCTAAACGTCTAGGGGATGCCGTAATTAAGCTCTCCCATCATGTATCTACTGCTAAAGATCTTGGGGATGCTGAAATAACGCGCTCCCATCATGTTTCTACTGCTAAAGATCTAGGGGATGCTGAAATCATGCGCTCCCATCGTGCTTTCTAACGCTGAAGTTCTAGTTGATGCTGAAATCACACGCCCCCTTCGTGTTTCCTAACGCTAAACTTCTAGGGGATGCTGAAATCACGCGCTCCCATCATGCTTCCTATAGCTAAACATTTAGGGGATGCTGAAATGTTGCGCTCCCATCATGCTTTTTACAAGCAGCATGCGTTCACGAGTATAACGGCAGAGACTTCTATCACTGCGTTCAACTATGTTTTGGGGAACCTAATGTTTACGATAACGAAATACGTTTATTAGTAGTACAAAAAAATTACGTAAAATCCTTAGCTATAAATATGAAGGTCAAATTTAATGATTTAGTTACGTGGATGATCAGCAATAACATTGAGACATTGACAAAAGGCGAATGAGTAATGATCTATTTTATAAACTTTTTGTTCAGTTACTGCGCTAATGATCGGTGGTTGATTTGTGCCGAAGACGTTTCCTCCAAGACCGAATCGTTCACGTTCACGATAATCAACTTTACCACATTATCGATAGAGTAGATTTTCGAATACCTTATCGAATATCCAGGCTCATTAATTGTAATTGAGATTGGATGTTGTAACTATAGCTTAAGGTTTAATATTGTTTGTTGCCTTCCAATGCCTTGACATCGATATCTCGTACACACACGCGACAAATGCTATTGTAAATTATATCTCTACGACGAGACCTTGAATATTTTACTTATACGTAAAACACTGTAATAAATCTTTGGTTAGGTTCTAAGCCCGCAATAATGTCGTATAATGACGAAATCGGTACAATCAAATAATATGTTAATTACTACAATATAGATGATGAAAATAGTTATAATAATGCCTGGGACTAACGAGATTTACATCTGTAGAAGATACGAATACTAAGAAAATAATGAGCCCCGAAATAGATTACATATAGACTAGTTGTATGTATTCATCTCATAGATATATGAAGATAATATGAATGTAAAAATGAATCTGTATTTTTATAAACATGTACAAGATCATTTGAAAAGAGTAATGAGTTCCTTGTAATATATATTAGCTCAAAAGTACTCCGAACTGACGGTAGATTTGACATGTCGTAAGAGTCTGTACCTTCATGAATAAATACATATTGATTTGTTTTGATACAAATAGATGTCGCAATTACATTGTGGAGTCATCTTCCAGCAATGGTACCAACCATTGCTGGAAGACTCCACAATACAATATTGGAACCTTCAAGAAAAGAGTGTATTCCTTCTTAAAAGCCGGTAATGCATACGCAATTTCGCTGGTGTCCTCATGGGTAGTATCACTATTTGCTTGGTCTGGTTTGTTGATTTATATTGTTACCTAATTTTAATTGTGTTTTAATATACCTATTCATATTCGCGATTTTATGTATTTGTAATCTGTTGTGTTTACGCTATAAAATTTTTATAGCAGTCTTTTTGGAAAAGTGCAACTGTTTATTCTTTTCGGTTGCACCTACTTTCCAAAGATGTTATTAGAATCATAAAAAAATCTGAAGTGCTCAAGTTAATTAAAAAAGAAATCATTTATATTTAATTTAAAATTATGTTTGGTATCAAGTTTTAACATCACATCAATGTTAGTACTGACATTCTCAGTTGCCATACAAATGGTGGCAGATGCATTGTCTATCTTATTTCCAGTCTGTGGTACATCTCATGTTCGTAAATTTACAATAGAAGTATTAATCGGATTCTGTATGGCAATACAAAGTCATGTAAACACATATTCGTCCATTCAAATAGTACGTCGCTACCATAAAAAGTATTAGCCGAAACGAAATTTTCCCGGGACAGAGCCGCGAGTAATTATTGTCTTAATTCGGCCCTGCCCTGACCGCTATTAATACGGTGGTGCAAGTGACAAGCGGCACCGAGTCTTATACTTCCAACCTAACCTCGAGTGTATACATGGAGTAACTAACTATGCTTCTCGGTTTCATTCGTCTTTTACCAAATGTATAATATCAACTGAGAGTATGTTGTTTTTTTTCTCTTAACGTTCAGTCAGATTTTTTTCTATTTTCTTAGTTGCTAATGTTGTTCGTTAAATGACGTAATGAATAATCTCTTCAAGAATTGGCAAATACTGAAAATTTTCATCAAATATTTTATTATTCTTATGTGTTATTTTCTTACACTTGTTAATTGAATTTTGTTTCTACTCTCTTTGTTTGTGTTATCTGGATACGAATAAAGATTGTCTATCTATCTATCTATGTTAAAAAAATTCCTTCTCCCATCAAGTTCCAGAACAAATAAGGTTTCAATTTATATATTACATAGTATACTTAGATATAGCGTGTAATATATCATAGTGCATTAAATCGGTCCATCATCAATTATCAAATAGTAAATCAAATGATTAATTTTCTTAATTAGTAACTTTTTCGTCATTGCCCATCCAGCCGAGCCATCAATTCGAGTCTTGCATTAAATTTATGGAGCTTGAAGTATGCGTTTATCACGTCTCCCCATATTGGAAGTGTGGATTAAATCATTTATAAACACTACGCTCATTACGAACATTGTTCGGTTTCCGTGGTACGAAAAACTCGAACGTATAAATCGAAGTAGCGGTACGGAATAGCAACTGCGCAGACCGAAAAAATTTTACCCCGAGCACTAAAAGTATACGGTCCAGAACGGGTAACAGTCGGTTTACATATGCAAGGCATTTTAATGATAGAATATGGCAACATTGTTCGGTTTATTGTATCGATTATTTATCTCCTAAGTGTATTG